GTTAATAAATATATTTGTTATATGAAAGCTCTGTGTCTGTGGTCGTTGTGAGTATCCATGACGTCACAATCAGATAAGTAATATCGGTATCAGTACTAAACTCATTTGGAATATCCATGATGGAAAGAGATGGGTGGGCTCTTGCGCATCGTATCCCACTTCAGCCAATAAGCTTAAGGAACCGGTTTGGGTCATAATATTAACGGGAATTATTAATGCAACAATTATTACAGGTACAAGTCATTGAAACAGAAACAGATAAACATTTTTTTAAACATTGCATCTTTTATTTCAATTACACCTTCGTCATGATATTTATGGTTGATCACTGAGGAAAATTGACCAAATCAACCAACTATTCTCCAAATCAAGTGTAAGGTCATCTTATTTAGTGTTATTGGCCTGTCGGTGCGCGCCACCCGGCGCTGCCTGCCGCCACCACCCGCCACGGCAAAAGCTTTCCCGTCAACCAAACTATTCTCCAAATCAAGTGTAAGGCCATCTCATGTCACTGTGTGTGTACAAGTGATTTACTAGTTTCTTTTGAAATTAAATTCTGTTCATGGTCATTCGTTTTTTAAGTTACCAAAATTCCCCTATTGTCCTTCCCTTCTTGGCAATTTGGAGTTGAAATGATAGAGCAAAATACACATTTGCGTTCTTGCTGCACCGCCCAGCCGCTGACTATGCAGGATCAGGAACAAGAATATGCAGGATGTGGAGAAGACTCGTGCGGTTGCGGTAATCTAATAATATCGTGGAGGGCCCCTGCGAGCACGCAGAAGAGTCGCAACACGACGCGGCATGGGCTCGACTAATGTCTGAAGTAGTGCTGGAGGTAATTGACACCATGGATCCTGCAGGGCTGTCCATAAACTCGTAAGAGTATGAGAGGTTGGAGATCTCTTCTGTACAGCACTTTGCTAGGGGCCCCAAATGTGCTCAATAATGTTCATATGTGGGGTTTTCGGTGACTAGTGGAAGTGTGTGCCTGGAGCCACTACTCTGTAGTAATTCTGGACGTGTGGGCTGTCGCATTGTCCTACTGGAAGTGCCAAGTCCGTCGAGATGCTCAATAGACATGAATGAGTGCAGGATGTTTACGTACGTGTCACCTGTCAAAGTAGTTACTAGAAATATCAGGCGTCCCGTATCACGCCAACACACAGAACCCCTCCACCAGATAGAACAGTATCCGGTTTTATGTGTTGTCCATGGAATCAAGAGGTTGTCGCCATACTTGAACACGTCGATTCGTTCGAAACAATGTGAAACGAGACTCGTCAGACAGACAAGGCAACGTGTTTCCAGTCAATGTCGGTGTCGGGCCCAATCAAGGCTTAAAGCTTTGTGTCGTGTAGCGTAATGTCGTTATCACATAATCTGGCGCCCTCGTGGATTTTCTTTATCGAATAATTACGCTTGTGTTTGGATGGATCATTTTCTATTGAATGATGCGTCAACGCTGGCCTAATTATCATTATTATCAAGGATGTATATTTGTTTACACGTTATTTAATTGATTATGTTTTGATGTCATAGATATGTGCTTTGGCATGTTTATATTCCGATGTTATGTTAAACAATGTCTATATTTCCATGTTTTTATTATTTCTGCTTTTGAACTTATGTTTATTTTTGTGTATCGCGCTGTAGGCGTAATTGTAATTCTTTAGTCACTTGTAGGTTTGCATCTCGCTTTACACTGGCCACCAATGAAACCATTTCACAGACCCCTCAGGTCGTTAGACTCGGCTTGAAAGGCGACCCCTCCACCGCACGAGTCTTCTCCACCGCTCCTAGACTTCAGAGCCCCGCCGCCGAAACCGCCCCCGAGCGCGTACAGGCGAGCGCTACCGAAGCCGTTAGACCTCCTAATATCGCTACGGAACCTGCTACCTTTGCCCAAGTCAACCATTTTGTTAATTGGCTCATGTCAAAACTAGATGAACATCATAGATGTCAAAGTTAGATGAAGTTTTGTTAGAAGATCCAACTTTGATGTCCAAAATTCTAAAGTTGATCATTTTAATGTTAATGAACGGTTTCCTTCTTTTATTTTCCGTTTTTCCCGTCACGAATTAACTTCTAAATTAGACGAACAACGCCTCGATCTCGATTCCAAGTTCACTACGTTGAATAATAAAATAGATGTCCAGTACTCTGATCTTCAACAAATCTCAAAAGAAATTTGTCAAAAATCTCTTCTTCATGTATGAGACTTGGTTGAAAATCAAAATTCAAATGATACCGCACAACCTAAATATCAGAAAGAAAATGAAAATGAATTAGAACTCGGGTGCGCAGAAACAAGAACAGTTATCAATTTAATGTTGAAATCACGAATTTGTTGAATTCAAACTCAAAAAAAAGTCCGAGTCAACTACTGAAAATGTAATCAATGAAAGCAAAGCTTTTGATTCGCATGTTGAAAAGATTAACCAGTTTCCGATTACTTCAAGTTATGAGAACAACGCTACTAAATTACTTTCTATTAATGATTTCATGAAGAACGTCATTGCTGACAATTTGAAAGGATTCATTTTTAGCATTAGAAAGTTACGTTCTTGAAAGTTAAATAATGCTACGAAAAGATACTTCAGAACACTCCCATTTCCGACGCAGAACGAGGGACACGGCTGGAGAAACGGTCAACCACCCCACTCCCCCAGTCCGGGAGGCCTTCTCTACGAGAAACACAAACAGCGATACTGCGAGCCCAACACCTCCTCCTACGCTGAAACATTGTCAACGACACGCGTTCTGCGGCGCCCTTGCATTCATTTGTTTTCACTGTCTTTTGATCTTCTGTTAGCGGCTTCTGTACTTCTTCGTTGTAACCCAGCAAGAATGGGAATTCCTTGTTAGAGTTTGACATTAATAATTATAATTTTAGATTTTCGTGTTTATCCCATTAAGTATTTTAGTGTTGTTATTTAATTTGGTATGATAATGTGAGGTCAACATAAGAATTTCCTGTCCATTTCCTTGGTGTATTATGTGAAATTTTACTTATTTGTCATTGTTTCGATAACATTTTATTTTGCTGTTACCCATTGTCTTCGTACACGTATGATGATCTATGTCAAACCTCAATTTAAACACGTTTTATTATCAACATTTGTTAAATGATCTATTTTACTATTATTACTTTTGGCACAATTTAAATCTTCTTTATTCAATCTTATCCTGCGGCTTATTATAATGAGTCAAAGCATCGTAACACAAAGCCCAAACGTTTATTTCATGTCATCTTGTCACTAATCAACCCTTTTCTTTATTACTTCTGAGTGTAGATATCAAACATTTTTTTTAATTTAAAAGGCCCGGAATAATTCAATGGCCCGGATGATTTTTGCTGATTTTAATATTTTGTGCAACAAATGTTCACCACAGAATTTCTGAGTAACTTATTCGATTTCTTATTAACAGAAATTTCTTATTTACATATATTTACAGAAATATAGGTAGTTTTAGGGGATAATTCATAAATTTCTTGGAATAAATGAAATTACAAATCAACATTGTAAGTCATTGTAGGTTTAAAATGTTTAAATCTGACATACGAAGTAGGCTGAATGATTTAAAACGAGTAACTAATTCATTTATTGGACTCTTTATTTTGCTGCATTCCTTGTAACTTTGAGCAAAAGAGATGCCTCTCAAGACGTTCACATAAAATGATGCTTCCACATTCTATTTTCGGCGGAATACTGGTTGCCTCTGCTTAAATTTAAGTATTAGCAATGTTCTGGTCACTATCGAAGTGAATATTGTAGAGTTATGGATGACAGATGATTGATTCTGAACTGAGGTCACATGATATTTAAAGGACTACTGTTGAATATTGATTGTTTGTGGTTGATTAGCATGTGAAATTGGATTTCCCGAGAAACATTTTAAAAAGTACCGTGAAAAGAAGGGAATATGGGGGTAGGGAATTAAAAATGCCACAAAGGGAGGACATGTTTGGAATGGATAGTATCGTATGGCGCAATAATACAAAGAAAGCTGGATACCTAGTACATTAGCAAACGTCTGGTAGTGAAAGTATGTGAACTTTTGATGATCCGAAATTTTATTTGAGGAATTTATTAATTTTTGTGGATTGTAGCAAAATGTATAAATGCTGCAAATAGACAAGTTATCTTTTTGTGTTATTTACTAATTTTTCGTTGTGCTATGATGTTGATAGAATCCACTGCAGATCAACATAAGGCGGAAACGCCAAATGTTGAAGTTTTACCTGTGTTAGGCTTTGTTGCTTGGAAGAGATTAACAGCCAATGAAACCGACCCAGAGACCAATGACACTGGCTCAGCAACGCGAAGGAAGAAAATTAAAATTATTCTGCGTACAGTCTGGTTTAGGGACTGTATTGGAGCGAGTCAACCGTGGACCAAGTTCCCCGGATGGGGCTGATTATCGAGCGCCGCTGGCGCAGCTGGACTATGACCTCAACTCGTGCCTAGCCATGCGCGGGCAAGTTCGATTCGCTGAGATTGGAGCCGAATCGGGCCGCGGTCCGGACTCGCTCTGGAGAGCGATTGATCTGCCAACGTTTCTAGCAGGATATGTTTGGATCGGAAGCAGTATGGTACTGGCACCAGGGTCTTTGACATTGTTTGGGATGCGCTAATGAAGCTCCACTGATACGTGCGACAAGTGTTTGGTGGCAGAGGTCCGAGCCGGACGCTGTTGGGTAGTGGCTTCGGGACTTCCAGAGTCGCGTTTGAAGTTATTGTATGCGGAATGTTTGTGGTGGCTGTTGCGTCTACACCCCATCCGCTGGGTCCACGGCGGAGGCGGAGGGCAGGCTGTGGCGCTGGGCGTTGAGCACGCTCGTGGAGGCCGGGCAGCGCGCGTGCGAGGGACGCAGGAGGTACAGGCACGGCGGCGACGCGAGGCGGCGGCGACGCGAGGCGAGGTGGGCGCGGAGGACGTCGCGCACCCTGCGCAGAAGCAGCCGGCGCTTGCAGCGGGCGCGCGGGGCCGCCTCCGCTGCCGCCCCCGCGCCGCCTCCGCCTCCGCCCCCGCGCCCACTCCCGCCGGCCGACGAGGGGCGAACCACGCGCCGCCGCCGGCCGCGCCGCCGCCGTCGCCTGTGGCCCCCGCTGCTGCTGCCGTTGCCGGCCGGCTGATGGACCTCCGAAGTCACGATCAAGGAGGGGCTGCGACAAGAAGTCCATTAGTTGGCTTACAGATTGTTCCTCAACATTTCCTTTTTTAGAGCTCCGTACCGGGAGAGGTGGTTCAGGGCATCAACTGATGTCATTCTGAGGTTCGAGTTTCGACAGTGGCTGATTTGCGACACTAGCCAGATAGCTAATTTGAGTTCTGCCTGGAAGGGAATTCTAGCAGGCGACTGCACTGATCAGTAGTTTGACGTGATCTGATTAGTGGCTCTCTTCTCGTCCTGCTCTATTGGAGGAAAACATTTTAAGGTTCCTTAGAGAAGAGAGGAATTCGAACCACCGGCCTTCAGTGTCAGTCTGACGCAACTGCTCCCCATCTCTATGGCTGGTGTGCTCCTCCATCCAGACGCTCTTCCGTGCCGGTGCCCCGACACCACAGCTACGAGTACGCGCTCGCGGAGTCCTACTACGGAGGAATACTACTCCCCGCCTTCCGGGCGAGCAGACGCTTCATCATCACGCGAGGCACTCTCCAAACGAACTCCTCTCGCCCTGCCTCTATGCTCCTTTGTTTTGGCGGTCACATGATCCCTCACCCATGGGAGGTCGCTCTCCACTGCGCCTTCGCCCTGCGTCACGGCTCCCCTGGCCCTATTATGCGCCGTTCATGACATGAGGCTGCCAGCCTTTCAACGCCAGTTGGCCTTTCAGAGTCTGGCTGTCCTACTCGTGACGTTACAATACATATTCAATTAATAAGTCATTGTTGAAAATTATTTCTATTCATTGTAAAAATGTATTTATATTGTTTATATTTTTTAATGTTTTAATTTAATTTTTTAAGATTTGTTGTAAATTAAACGAGTTTTTTCAGTAAATGTTGAAAAAAATCAGCATTCCGTAATATTAAAAAACATCACCTACACTTATGTAAAATAGCGCAATGTTGCCTAAAATATCCTCATTAGCGTTACGTTGATATTTATTGGCGACTCCTTTTCATAATTTTATAAAAAATGATTGAGCATTTTTCATTATTTTTTCTTGAATATAGGATGTAGATTTATTAAAATGGCACAAGCTATCAGTAAAACCTGCCAGTTAACCACTCCTCCATTGCTTGAACCCGCCTAACGGCAGTCGGTTACCGAATGAAACTTAACAACTTGCGTCCTGATTATTCTTATAATTGACAGCATTTCAAATTTTGACTATGCGTTTTAGATTACCCACTAGAGGGTAGTAAATTTCTACATCCGAGAGGCCGTCATTGTGAGTGTTGCATGTAAGTTGTCTAAAAATAATTTTTATAAACTTTTGCTGAGATAACTTGCTGGTTGGGAACTATATTTCAAGATATAAGATATTTTCAGTACGTAATGATTTATTAAAAATTTAAAAATATGCTTAAATTTTACCACTATTGCCAATAAATATAGCCACAATTTTGTTTTCAAAGTGGGTTATTTAGGCAATACAAATGAAATATAAAATAATTCATATAGGCAATATAAATGTTACATATTAATGAACATGGAGTTGAGGGATATTTAATTTTCATAATTTCATGAGTGGAAAGTAGCAATTATATTTCTAACATTAAATACTAATACAATTTTATTACAACGAATCCATTCGTAAACTTGTTAATACTATTTGAAGGTTTGAACTATCGTTATTCTAGATTTCAAATTGCTAAATTACCTTGCAGAATCTCCCCTCTTGTTCAATTCATCTTTCTTATCGTTTTCTACTATAACAGCTGTCGCCTCAGCCGTCAGTTCAAGATTGATATCTTCTACTGTACAACTGGAATTTGAAGTTTCTGTTGCACATTGAAATAAATAATATAATGAGAACTGAGAACCATTTGCCCTTTCAGCTTCCTTGCCACGACTTTCTTCAGAAGCATCTGAAACTTCATTAGAAGGCTTGTCGGCGTCGTCATTTGAATTGAATGTTCGCAACTTCGTGTTGGTGAGTAAACTAACACAGCATTTATGCCTTGCTGATATATCTTGTCGTGGATCAGTATCCTTGGGCGATGGAGGAGTCGTGACAACTGCCGTAAGCATTGATTTCATAGACGATGGATGACCTTCTGAAAGAGTGTTCACGCATGTAGAATCTGTAGATGTCGATAATGCTGAATGAGGAGGACATTCAGTGGAACTATCCATATATTGAGATGCTGAGTTTTCTGTACATTCAGATAATGTCAAGGCTGGCAGTTTTGTGTTCGTTAATGACGATTTTCGTAGGTTCCGTGTTTCCGATTCTGTAGACATCCTGCCAATGTCTGAAAGGGGATGGAAATTGTGATTGACGTCTTTTGGACCTATGCCAATCGAAAGTGTCTCAGACATTGAAAGTTTCTTAACCCAGGTGATGTCTGTAGGATGCTGTTTGCTCGGCCGAACATTGAGTTCGGAATGATTAACAGGAGAAGGTTCTAGGGATAACTGGCATTCTTGTTTGTCGATTCGAGAAGATTGAGGAATGTATTGTACGGTGTCATCAAGAGACTTTTCGAGTTGGACAGATGTTATGGATATGTGATCACGTTGCATATCTATTTCTGACTGATTTGTTTGAGATAAGAGGCAAGCATGAATAAACTGCTCATCATTAACTAAGAGCGAATGCATGTCTGTAGATGCTTTTGAATGCTGCTTTATCTTAATCTCTTCGAAAGACTGATTATTGAGAGATGTGTCGTTTTGTAACAGTAGTTCTGAGTGATGAATTTCCGATGTCCATGGTTGATCATATCCACTCATGGTTACATTTTTATCAGGAAACTTGTCGGCAACATGATGAAGCGTAAATAATAAATTTTCTGCTGGCTGATTGATGTTCTTTTCGGCAGATAAAGTAGATTTAATACTCTTGTTATTAGCTCTCGGAGTTTCAGAGTCGAGTACTTCATTCGGAATTTGTTTCTTATTGTACAATTTGCTGAATGCAAGTGATTGTTGTGTGTTCTCCGTCGCTGATGATTTCATGTCAATATTACAACCAAAATCGGCTTCAGTAGCTGTCGAAATCAATTGAAGATATTGCGTACCAAGTGCCTTCTCATCCAGGTTCAGTGATGAACTACGCCTAACGTTCCCAAAATATGTCAATGATGGAGATTGTTTAATAATCCCAATTGGGTTTGCTGAGAGATTCTCATTTTCTTTCAAGTTTTCTAAGTCAGAAAACGAATATTGTTTTGCACTGGATGCAAAAGAATCCCGAGTCGACTTCGTTACAAACTCAGATGTTACCTGATTGTGACATTTTTCAGTGGCTGGAAAATGTTGGAGATGCGACTTGTCCACTGTCAAATGATGGGACCGTCTCACTTTCTTTCCTGCAGGGCAACTTAAATTCTGTTGGTCGGTTGTAAAAATGCGATACACTTCAGATGATTCGAGAAGTTCGACTAGTGTGTGAGTTGGTGGAGGCTGTTGAATTTCCTGGTTTTGAGTTAATGGTGACAGCTGTAGACTTTCCTTTCCCAGCTGCAGAAGCTGATGGCTGGCTGACTTGTGAAAACACGGGGACTTATGGTCGGCGGAAATGATATGTGATGCCTGTTGATGATAACAATGTATTTCGATTGCTTCGTGTTGAAGGTCTTGGTCATCTCCGATGACGTTTGGAGAGGTTTGGGATAGATGGTTTGAGTCAGATGATTGTCTTATTATATTTTGAGGAGTTTTCATTACAACGGGCACATCGTCTATTGAAGACAAGCATTTTGCGTCAGCTTGCAAGCTCTGCTGACTGTCCACATTAGTTGATGTTTGAACTTGAGAAGGATATATTTTTCTTGCAGGAATTTCTCTCATATCATCTGCAGAGGGTGGCTGGATAAAATGTCTGGCGGCAGCTGCGGAAAAATCTTCGATGACCTCCTCTAAGTATAAGGTATTTTCATTTGGAGTTTTCTTTATTTCTAATGGAGAGGCAGATGAAGTTATTCCCTTTTGTTGCGCTGCAACATCTGAACATTTAGTAGTTGAGCAGTTGCTAATGTCTGAATCTTGATAAGTTCCTAAGGCATCAGAGTGAATAACAGAATCTGTGTTGGTCAAAGACTGGCCTTCTCTGAGATTGGCTTCTGTGAGTTTCTGGGTGCTTGAAACATCGGATGATATTGAGAAAGCGAGATGAGTTTCTAGTAGTTGTAAAATTAGAGATTGTAAGAGAGATCTTTCATCACACTGATCACATCTCACACTTTCCTGTTTAGCCAATTGATTGTTTGCATTTAATGTCTGTGTAGCATTGTTGGTTGTTAAAACATCCATGACACTCTCCAATTCTGGCAAATTGTAGTTGTTGCGCCCTTTGACTGCCATACAATTTTTATCATGTGGACAGTGTGAGTTGAGTGCCCCAGGTGACATTACTGCATGAGGTGATCCTATAATAAGAGAATAATTTTATTAACAGAAGATTATTTAATAATAGTGATAATAACAATAAAACAATAATAACAACAATAATAAAATATAATAATAAAAGACTGGGAAGTGCAAGACATTGCTTTATTGCGAACAGCTCCCATTTTGTGCAAAGAACTGTAGAGGGACAGAGAGCCCATAAATCTGCTCCTTAGAAAGTTGATTGCAACCCGAAGTAGCTTTTATAACCAATCGACTTATAATATCTAAGTGAACTAGAGTAATAATAATATCAATATTTAGATAATGTATATACATTTTTTTCTTATACTTTAAGTATGCTGCTTCTGAAGGGTGAAGAGTTATTTAATTGTGTAGTAATTAAGACAAAGATTCGTGTGTAAGGATGAAAAAACGCCAATTCAATGTCTATGCTAATGGATTATGACCAGGTCAGAATAACCATTGAAACAATTTTAGAAAATCAAAATCTACGAAAACTGCCATTTTTTATTTTCTTAAAGATGTTGCTTCATCAATTGACCAAAATGAAGAACCCATTGGGATATGTTTAGATCTTTCGAAAGCTTTTGACGTTATTGATCTTAACATGCTGCTCTCTAAATTATCTTTTGTAATTCGTGATATTGTCCTAGACTGGATATCTTCGTACCTTAAGCATCGATCTCAAAGAGTAAAAAAGACGTACTGACACTGAAGGATATTATTTACGTATATTTTCAATTCTCTGCCAATTGAGCATCGGGTCCCGCAAGGTTCGATCTTAGGTCCTATCGTCTTTCTGTCACAGGTAAACGATATGCCCTCGTCTATTATAAACGGAAGAACAGTTCGGTTTGCCGATGACACGAATGTTCTTTGCAAAAAATTATAAATAGTATGATTTCAGAAGTTTCAAATTAGTTTAGTAATAACAAATTAATAGTTAACGAAGAAAAAACGGTTTCAATGTTTTTTGCATTTCAAATCGATAATAACACGCACTAATGAAATGAACAATATGCAATTAGCTGATGTTAAAGTAACAACATTTTTCGGTATCTCAATTTCAATCAAACCTCAAATGGAATGTACACATAACATATTTAAACACTAAATTAAGTTCATTATGTTACGCATTCAGAATTCTTTCAAATTCTGTCAGCCTTCATGCAGCTCGTTGCGTGTATTTTGCAAATGTACATTACCGCCTGAGATATGGCATAATATTTTTGGGAAGCTCATCCTGTAGTACTCAGACCTTTATATTACAAAAGAAAAGTATTCAAACAATGAAAAAATAACATCCACGTTAACCATGCAAGTGTAACGTATTAGCCAGCGTGCCTCGTGGCATCTATTTGGGGACGCTTGGTAGAGGATTAGCCACGCCACAGGAAGGAGAGAAGGGTTTTTCCGTAAAGGGAAGAACGCGGAAACGGGAGACACAAGGCTTTGGAGTCTTCCGACCTTTAGAAACTTTTCACTGTTATAACAAGCGAGGGGGTGGCGTGATGTAGTAGGTCACGTGGGCCTCGCCTATATAACAGAGTGTACAGAGCCAGTAGGTGGGTTCTGGAGACGGTGGGAGAACCTCGTGCGTGTGCACAAAACTTGGCGCCAAGACGGTGCATATGCGAGCCAGGCTCGCGAGGCTCGAGTCACTAGCTGACGAAGCCTGCGAACTTTAGGTCCTTGGGTGACTGCGGTCACGGGGGAGCGATGCTGTGTGCGTGCTCCGAGGTGAAGAGTGGTTGAGTACCACGATTCACGCCGATTCTCAATCGGATAAGATCGCTCATGCGATCGAGGCAAACCAGCCATTGGTGCGCCAGAACGGACTTTGTGTCCCAGTGTGACATCCGGTCACGGAAGCTAGGCTTTGTGCGCGCTTCAAAAGTAGGAGTGGCGAATGCCACAATCAAAACCATCTTCAGTCGGGTTTGGATCGCTCCCGCGATCAGGGGATAGTAGGTCTATCAGAGCTAGGGTGCAAGTAGGATATTAAGTGTATATATTTGTTATGTTTTCTTTGTTAATAAATATATTTGTTATATGAAAGCTCTGTGTCTGTGGTCGTTGTGAATATCCATGACGTCACACAAGCCTCTCTTTATTGAACTTTGATTTTTTGATTTATTGATCTTACCATTGCCGTGCCTATGTATTTACGACTCTGTAATATTTGTAAAAACTATCTTACTTAGTTGTGGAAACATAGTTTCGTGCAATACTGATATTTATAAGTACAACACATGTCATACTAATCACATTCATTATCAACGGCTCGCAACAAGAAACTCACATTAAATACATGTACGTCACTTCACAACGCATTGCTAGATGACATTAAACAATTAAAATCGTCACACAAAATTTAAGTTAAAAGTAAAATATTTTCGGTTCTGATTTTTATATATTTAGAGACTGTACTGAACATAAAAAAATTGTAAGAAAACAATGATATAAAATATATTAATTTACATTTGTAATTGTATAATTAAAAAAGACATAATATGCTTGCAACAAGTAATGTACTTCAGCATCCGGATCAATGATCCCAATCTCGATCAGACTTTTTGTCCAGTTTCTATGATCCATTGAGCAAATGCTGAGATGGCCCCTTGTTTTGCTCTGGAAATAAATGTAGCTTCAGTATGCGCATGTTTTGTTGAACTCTCCTTTGGCTTGTAGTGGTAGTAGTAGAACTGAGGGTGAGTTGCTATTTTGTTGTCAATACGCAGGAATCATGGAACTCGTTTGCTTATGCAAATAAGATTTATATAACTCGGAAACGATAATGTCTAGTTTCTACAAATGTTTCTAATCTCACGCTTTTTATAATTTATTATTATTATTTTTATTATGTAAAACTTTTATTCATCTATCAACTGTTTGTAATTCAAATGTTGGGAAGGGGTTTTGGAACCCCAGAAAAACGTCACATACAGTTTTTACTGGTTTTTGACTAAATAAATAAACAATTACATTCGTAAACATCCTCATTCTAACATTGAGTAAAGTTATATATTCAACAATTATATTTATATAGTGTTATGTCAAAAGTTTTCGAGATGATATCTAATAGAATTCCTGTAAGTCAAGTGTTCCGAACATTTGAATTATAGTATAATGAGCCATAACACATGTGTATACAATGCAAGCTTCAGCCTTTAACCTTCAATTATTCAATATTTATTTAGCATTGAAACATATTCAGGATATTGTGGTTTCACATTTATTCCAGTCGACATAAGCCATGATATTATAAACAAACTTGGAGAATAAGAAATTCGAGCCTCGTAGTAATTTCCTTAGTTTTGCTAAATAAGGAATTCACTGAAGATAATATATTGCTATAGATATTATATATCTTTACAATCTTGAAAATGAAATATAAATGCTAAATAGAAGTATACAGTGTAACCAAGATTTTATGTACTGATATTTAAAGTCAATTTGAATGTGCAATCTAAGGAATATATACATCTCGTGATATCTGCATCTTACGTCAAAAGCAGTTGTCAATAAAAAAAATTCCAACAATTTTGAAAATGTGATTGACGTATATCAAAAATATTTGCGTTCTATCGCTATGCATGATCGCAGTTTTTCTACTACATTTGTTACTGCCGTATAAAAAAGTTTCCAACTTTTACCGTCTATGTACGTTGGAGCGCCACTGTCGCTCCAGTGCGTCCAGTCAAGCGCCGAAATCAGTTCTAAACTGTGTCTTCCCTCGAGCAGTAGTCCGAATGGTGCCGTATATTCACGTACATGTAAACATATCTAGGCAGACTACAATATACCTTGACTCGTTTGAGTGGCCGGTAACGGGATTGATGACGCCTGTGATTTTGACGTCGCAGTGGAGGGTATAGCAGGCGCTGACGGCATGGTTAGGGCCGATAGCGACGCGTGCATCGAAGACTCCGTCAGAGATGATGAGATCGGCGTCGGCGAGAACTGTGTTTCCGAGAGTGCAACGGAAGAGTTTTCACCGGGACACGCGACAGCGCTGGGACCGCCGACAAGCTGGTTGGTGGCAGCTGCGTCTGGAGTTGCTTCGTCGGCCTCGGGCTTCCCAATCGCTGGAGGCTGAATAAAAACGTTTGCAAAGGTAGGAAGTGCAATCAAAAATGTATAACTTAGGTAACATATCGAATAACCCTCTCGCACAGAACGATTACGGTGAGGTTGTACCGACTGATACGTGACAAAAAGTGCGTTCCCGCAAATATAGTTTGCGTTTAAAGCAATCATACTTACAATACATAAAGAAAATTGGAACATCTCCACCAATTCTTACAGAAAATGAAATTTTGTGTTTTAGGTGTTGAGTAATTGTGAAAGTGTATTTGCACTGACGTGAAATGAAATGATTTGTATATTATTTTCAATTCAACATGTGTATTGATGAGCTTTAACTGCAACGTAGAAGAAAAATAATTTGTTTCTTCTTCACCCTTCCGGCGTGTGCATCACCATATTTAATCTTGAATGAAATTACTCAGCACGTGCGATGACAAATCTAGTTCTCACTTTTCTAATGCGATTTGCAAACTGCTGGAAGAAGTCGAAGCTTGCTCTGCTAGGTGGGGCGTATTCTCACTGATTTTGTGTCTACAATGTTGTCAGCGTGATAACATATTAACTTAATTTTATTGAAAGATGTACACGAGAAATTTTGAGCTTTTAGTTCCGTCATATTGCGTTTGAGCTGAATTAGAGAACATGTACAACTTAACGAAGTCGTTTTAACCGGCACTTCGCGCCGGTCAGGCAAGGGGAAAAATCATGATGAAGGGAACGAGGTTAGGGGGCTTGCGGGAAATGTTTCGTGAACAGGAATAGTGAACAATGTACATAACATGATGTATAATTATAATGAGAAAGTCGTGCGCGATCGAAATGAAACTTTAATATTAAACTCTCTAAAATAATTTTAATATTTTGTTTTTTGGTTACTTTATTAGTTACGTCCTTTCATGTCCTCTATTACGTGTCGGAGCACCATTACTACTGTCCGTTGACATTTATGTTGCATAATTGTAGTTTTGCAGTATTATTTTGATTTTTTCTGTTGGTAGGGAAGCTGTCAAAGTGGTTAGAAAAGTTTCTGTCGAACAGTTCTTGCGCTCTTCTGATTGTTTTTGATTTCGGTTTTGACCGTCCTTTGTTTGTGTTATGGTGGCGAGAATAAATGTGGTTCTTTATGTCTGGTGCCGAAAGGGGTGCTTGGCCATTGTTAAGTGAATTCAAAGCCATTCTATGATATGATTGCGGCAAGGTTTACTTGGACGTTCTTCGTATAAGGTGTGTGTGTGTGTGTGTGCGTGTGTGTGTGCGTGCGCGTGTGTGTGCGTGCGTGCGTGTGTGTGCGTGCGTGTGTGTGTGTGCGTGTGTGTGTGCGCGCGTGTGTGTGTGCGCGCGTGTGT